CAATATTTTTAAGGTGTCTATTTTCCCCAAGTTGTTCTATAGATTCAATGTAATGCTTAGCCAGCTTCTTTTTTTTTTCTTTTTTTGGTAAGTATTGATAAACTGATTCTAGAATTTATATGACTACGTAAAGCAGTAGAAGCAGCAGTCTCCGACCTTTTTGGCAGCAGGAACTGGTTTTGTGGAAGACAATTTTTCCATGGATGGGGTGGGGAAGGGGATGGTTTTGGGGTGAAACTTCCACCTCAGATGATCAGGCATTAGATTCTCATAAGGAGCACACAACCTAGATCCCTCACATGCGCAGTTGACAATAGGGTTCTGTCTCCTATGAGAATCTAATGCCATCACTGATCTGACAGGAGGCGGAGCTTGGCCAGTAATGCTTGCTTGCCCGACACTCACCTCCTGCTATGTGGCTTAGTTCCTTACAGGCCACAGATCAGTACCAGTCGATGGCTTGGGGATTGGGGAGCCCTGATGTAAAGGACCTATAATAGTCAAAACAATTTTGAAAAAGAAGAATAAATTTGGAGAACTTATACAAACTGAATTAAAGACTTACCATAATCAGGAAAATGTGGGGGCCAGGCACAATGACTCATGCCTGTAATCCTAGCAGTTTGGGAGGCCGAGGCAGGAGGATTGCTTGAGGCTGAGAGTTCAAGACAAGCCTGAGCAACATAGCAAAACCCTATTTCTACAGAAAGTTTAAAAATTAGGCAGCTGTGGGCCGGGCATGGTGTCTTACGCCTGTAATCCCAGCACTTTGGGAGGCTGAGGCAGGCGGATCATGAGGTCAGGAGATCGAGACCATCCTGGCTAACACGGTGAAACCCCATCTCTACTAAAAATACAAAAAACTTAGCCAGGTGTGGTGGCAGGCACCTGTAGTCCCAGCTACTCGGGAGGCTGAGGCAGGAGAATGGCATGAACCCAGGAGATGGAGCTTGCAGTGAGCCAAGATCGTGCCACTGTACTCCAGCCTTGGTGACAGACTGAGACTCTGTCTCAAAAAAAAAAAATAAAAATATAAAATAAAATAAGTTAGCCAGCTGTGGTGGTATGTACCTGTAGTTCCAACTATTTGGGAGGCTGGGGAGGGAAGATCACTTGAGCCCAGGAGGTCAGGGTTACAGTGAACAATGATCACACAATTGCACTCCAACTTGGGTAACACAGTGACACCCTGTCCCTAAATTTAAAAAATAAATAAAAATAAAATGAATGTGGTATTGGTATAAGATAAATGTATAGATAAGTGGAATAGAATAGAGAATCTAGAAATAAACCCACACTTATATGGTCAATTGATTTTTTTTCCAAAGGTGTGAAGATAATTCAGTGGGAAAAAGGATAGTCTTTACAACAAATGTTGATGGAAGAATTTGGTATACATATGAAAAATAACATTGATCCTCGCCTCATACAGAAAAATTAAATCAAAATGGATCACTATGCTAAATTCACAAAGGAAAATTATTGAGCTTCTAGAAGAAAGCATAGGATAAAATCCTTGTTGCCTTGGGAATGAGGCAAAGATTTCTTAGGACACAAAACCCACTAACTGTAAAAAAATTATAAATTGTATTTTATCAAAAGTATTATCTTTTGTTTTTGAAAAATGCCATTAAGAAAAAAAGGAGATTGTGAGTTGTGGGATAGTTGGAACTTACCTACCTGGCTGTCCAAGGCTTACAATGATAAAGCCACTTGACAGTTTCTTACATCTCAGGAGTTCTACTACTCCCTAGTACAATGGAAGGAACTACTGCTAGCTGCAACAAAATGGATAAATCTCACAGAAATAATGTTGAGCAAAAGAAGTTGGACACAGAAAGTATATACTGTATTATTTCATTTCTATGGTGTTCCAGAATAAAGCAAGAATTACGCTGTAATGATGGATGAGTGGTGACCTGCGGTCTGGGTAGCCATGGGAGAATTTACTACATAAGGGTTCCAGGGAACTTTGGGGATGATGCTTACATGACTGCATACATTTCTCCAGACTCCTCGAATTGTACATTTAAAATGGGTGTGTCCATTGTGTGAATATGAACATTGTGTGAACACCTAAATAAAATTCATTTTTAAAAAAATATTTACTGATCCAGCACTAGAAGCTAAGCCTCCTGATTTCTAACACACTATTTTTTTTAATTCCCCCTTTCCCCCAAAATAATATTGGCTCCTTTTCTCTCCACACTTGCTACCTCCCATGGGATGGAGAGATGGAATGTGGGAGGCAAAGCCGGTGTGAGCACTGGCTCTGAGGTTTAGGCCTTGATATCCAGGAGAGTGGTGTGGGAGGAAGATGAACCACTGGGTTTTAGACCCATGGAGCCTCAGTTCAGGGCTTTGGGCTTCCCGGTTAGTTTGTTTAGTCTTCTTGAGCCAGGAGGAGATCACACCAGATGAAAGGATACAGTTGGCTTTGGAGGAGGGTGAAGCAGAGCTGGGAAAAGAATCAGACAAGTCATTAGAGACATAAAAAAATAGCAATTTTATATATGCCGTGGAGGAGAGGTTTTTCCCACAAACCGGTTGTTAAGAGGTACTGAAGAAAGTGTAGACCTAGTGATCTTGGTAGAGTGAACATCAGATCCACAGCTTTGATGTCAGCATGGGTGGGAGTTGGGTGCTCTTGCCTACTTCCTCAGTGACTTGGGACAGTTTCCTTCATGTCGCTCAGACCCAGTCTTCAAAGATGGGGGTAAATCATGGTTTTTTAATTGATTCTGAGATTCATTCTGACCATTCAATGAGAAAATGTGTATTACGTACCTAGCACAGACCTGAATAAACATTAGTTTCTTATGTTTTATTAATAAATCATCTTTTGCATCATGATATCTTTGCTAATATTATGTATTTGCTAAGTGGCAGGTGTTGTGCTGTAGGATTTGTATGGATTATCACATTTCATGCTCAGAATAGCCCAGTGAGAAAAAAGCCTCTCTTTACACATGGGGAAACAGGCTTTGAGAGCGAGGCAGCTTCCCAAGGAGACAGCATGTGCTGGGGTATGCATGAGCCCTGGTAGCATGGCTCAGTCTGTGCTCTCTGCCCCTTCTTAGAGAACAATTCCCAGAGGTAGAGGAGAAGCCTCCCGGTGGGGCCCAGGGAGTGGGAGACATTCTTTCAGAAAATTTGGAGGTAGATGCAAGAAAGAAGTGAGATGCCAGATCAGGGTAGGATTTTCAGGAGAACCTTGAGCAGTGAGCTTCTTTTGGAGTTGCTTCTTTCATTCCTCAGTTATATTCATTCCTCAGGCAATGAATATAACTTCTAAAAGCCATTCAACAGCATATATTTATTTAGTGATTGCTGTATGCTCTTAGAATTCCCCTGGTTTGTACATAGGTTGGGGCATAGTCTCCAAGGAAGTTGAGTTCAGTCTCATTGGCTTTGGTTTACAGTAGGCTGTTTGCCCAGGTAGTCCTGGCTCCAAAACAGCAGACATTGCACCTTGGAATTCTCACACTCCTGACAATGCTATTTGCACCTGTCCCTCTTTTTTGTTACTGTAGTGACATGTCCCGAGGAGATGGCTATAGATGTCCAGCCCTCAATCCAGCCTGCCTCATCTTGCCTACAGCATTGACAACCATAGGCTGACACAGGGAGAAAATTCACAGGAACTAAGGCCAGGGACCTCCCAACCCCTCTCCCATACAATTTAACAGACTGCAGAAAATGACCCCTGAATGGACAGTTTCCATTTCCCATCACAAGGTGGAAGGGAGAAAGAGCCCCATTCTATATAACTCAGAGGTGGTGAATTCACATCAGACCCAAGGGTTGCTAGTGGTCATAAAGATAAATCCTGCGTGGACAGAGGAGGCTGGAGTGGAAGTGCTGCCCTTGCTAATTGCACAGAAAGAAGAAATCCCATGAATGAAAAAGGTTGCAGAGGAAATCATGGTTTAATGGCATGGTATATAAGGCTGGGTGGATTGTGAAGCGAGTAAGTGTAATTTATAAGAGGTGAAACTTTTATCCCCATAAAGGGCCAGGTTGAGCCTACCATAAATCTAAATCTTCTGAAAGAGCTATGATTATGTTGGTAATATGTTAAAAGATAGACAGATCTTTTTTTAATGCTCCCCCAATCCCACCAGGCCACTACTGAGTAGTTACCAAGATTTTTTTCTTGAATGTATGTAGTGAACTTCATAGATACCTGCATTTAGTTTCAATTTTCTTTATTGGGATTTTCATTTTTATTTTAAGAAAAAAAAAGTGTTTCATTGAAAGCATTGAGATGAGCTTAAAATTATTCAAAACAGTTAAGACTGCTTAGTATGCTAGTGTGAACACAAAGTATCTGAGACAAGTCCCAGTCAATTTAGAAAGTTTATTTTGCCAAGGTCAAGGACGCACCCATGACACAGGCTCGGGAAGTCCTGAGACGTGTGCCCAAGGTGGTTGGGGGTACGGTTTGCTTTTATATGTTTTAGGGAGACATGAGCCATCAATCAATATGTGTCAGGTGTACACTGGTTTAGTCCAGTAAGGCAGCAACAACTCAAAGTGGGGGCTTCCACATTAGACACAGAGAAGAGACAAAAGGTTGCATTTTTTTGATCAGCCTTCCACTGAATACACAATTTAGTCTGGCTTGAGGGTGGGGCCGTGGCTAGGGACTGGCCCTCTTCTGCCCAGAATTTCCCTGCCTCCTGTCCCTATCACCAAGATTTATTTTCCTTTCACATTTGTTTGCTGAGGTTTTAAAATTACCTTTTCTACAGAGTTGTGTGTATAATTGGAAGGTGTCCTTAAATTCTTACTCATTTAGTGGTTGATGACTCCTGAGGTAGCCACACTACTACTAACATTTAAAAAAACATTTCAAGTATGTTCTCAGGTTTGTAAATTAAGTTTTTCAAGAATATAAACTTATGAAATATTTTTAAATGGTTAACTTGTATATGATAGAACCTTATGAGTTTATTTTTTAAATTCATTGTGCTGAGTCTTTTTTTTTTTCTTTTAATGTAATCCAGAAATAGACAACAAGAAATATTACAAGTACAGCAAAGAGAAGACATTAAAGTGGCTGGGAAAAAAGGTATAGTTCCTCTCTAGTGCCTTGTGGTAAAAGAAAAAAATTCAGTTCTCTAAGAAATTTTCAAAGAAGGCAGTAAGTCTGAATCCAGAGACCATCCTGTATATTCCATGAAAAGAGGAAAATTGTGTAGAGATACCAAGTATGAGAAGAAGGCTTTGACTTTTCAATGCTCCCTAACTTGTGTATCTCTGAAGTTAACTTTATGTTTTCTCATGACCTGCATTCTCATTTCTCCCTGATCCTACTACGGAATGAAATAATTTGTTGGTGTAGATTTGAGTCTTCCAAGTAAGAGGATACCAGGCCTGGCACTTGTTGGCCATTGTCAGTCCTGCAGCTGTCTCCAAGGGTGATGTTGCTCCCACACAGCCAGGCAAAGGGACCCAGGGACACAGCCAGGCAAAGGTGTTCAGGTTTAGAGGACATATGTCCCACTTTCAGGGTCTGGATGCTGAGGAGGGGTCGTCTTACAGGCAAATCCTGTATCTTAGTGATTCTAAGAATCTTGACCTAATGGAAGGACTGGGTCAGTGAATTGCAAATCAATTTAGTAGGTCACAACCAGTATTTCTCTTGCAATGAAACAGATGGGATGGGATGGGATGTATTAAAATATAGCAGAGGAAGGGCAAGTATTAAGTATGGCTCTATGAAACATATTTATATGTGTTTAAGTATTGGATTGCTGTATATTTCTTACCATGGGGTTGTGATTAAAAAAAAAAAACTTTGAAAGCCACTGGTCTAAGGATAATATGTACTCTCATGTTGATTAAGAATCTCACTAAACCAGATAGAATAATGATAAAGTTTTTGCAAGATCAGTGCATACCAGTAGTTATAGTACTGTTTCCTAAGATTCTCTTCCATCTTTTGTGTGAAAAATCATGTTTGTCCGCATGTGCTCTCTCATAAGTGGGAGTTGAACAATGAGAACACATGAACACAGGGAGGGGAACATCACACACTGGGGCCGTTTCAGGGGTCAGGGGCAAGGGGAGGGAGAGCATTAGGACAAATATCTAATGCATGTGGGGCTTAAAACCTAGATGACGGGTAGATGGGTGCAGCAAACCACTATGGTACTTGTATACCTATGTAACAAACCTGCATGTTCTGCACATGTATCCCAGAACTTAAAGTATAATAAATAATAATAAATAATAAATTAATCATGTTTATTTGTCATATCATGTTACCAGGCTCATTGGAAGCCTGAGAACCTGGAAATGAGTCCAGTAGAATAATCAGGCTCCTAATGTGCAAAGTAGTGGAAAGATTTAGAGTGCCGTGTTTCACTTTTCATTTGTGATATAGTAGTAGTAGTATTCCATGTAGACGAAGAATGAGCATCAATGCGGAGCAGAATCCTTGATGTTTACTTTTGCTCTTAGCCAGGGAAAAGGATATGAATAGCGAAGAGGAGTTTATACTTACTGATTATATTTCCTAGGAAGTGGGAAATTTATATTATTCTATTTAGGAAATTATTACATATAAATTTTATGCCAGGTTCTATTCTAAGGGCTTTATTTACATATATTACCTTATTTAATTTTCACAGTAGTCCTGTGAGGTGGATGTTATTTTTTTCCCCATTTCACAGATAGAGCCACAGAAAGGTTAAGTAACTAGCCGTGGTTACAGAGCCAAGCCCAGCGGCCTGACTCCAGAGTCAGAGCTCTCAGTTATCACAATATGTTGCCTCTCATACTGTATAGGCCATGGCAGTCCATGTAGTGAGATCATCCAGAGATCCTGCTGCCACTCAGCCTTTCTTCAAATGGGCAGCCATTTCTCATCTTCTGGTGTCTGGTGAAGATACTTCTAGGTTCTCAAATACATCTTTGCAGATCTCTTAAGTGGTTTGAAGGCCACCTATGAAGTCATAGATTTCTAAAGTTAAGTTGAAAATACGCTGCTTTTCCCCTTTTGGTTGCTTTGTAGGTTAACCAAACTACAGCAGCATTAAAAACCAATAATGTGAATGTCAGTTGCCGGGTACAGTCAACTGCATTTTTCTCTGGTGACCAAGTTTCCACTGACAAAGAAGGTAAGTAAAGCATTTTATCAGAAATGATTTTTGTCTGGAGTAAGTTGCTTATGTGTAAATGCCTATCTGAAGATTTAAAAATCTTAATGTCACAGAAGCCTCATATTCCTACCAATGCCTGGTATACATTGTGGCAGGTGTGCATCTTGTTTCAGAAGCAAAGAATATTTCTACAATAGGTTACTTCTGTTATTCATTGATACTTAAGTTATTTATTCAGCAAATATTTCTTTTACACTGACAGTAGTAATAACCCTGGCTATCATTTATTGAGGGTGTATTGTGTGCCAGGCCCTTTGCTAAGTTGCCACTATACAAACATGATCTCATCCAGCCCTCCCAGTAAATTTCATAATGAGCGTCTTGAGGCCCTGTCCAAAGTCTTGCAACTAGTAAATGGCAAAGCTGAGCTATTTATGGAGCTTGTCTCTCAAGCCCACACTCATAACCTTTTTGTGATACTGTTCCTGCAACACAGTTATACTGTTCCAGTGGCTGCATCTGTTTGCATTTTCTTCTCAGGACACATGTTTCCTGATACGGGGATCAATATACTTTGATTTTAGATGAAAATTGATTTGCTTGGCAATTTTTCTTTTAGGTTATTCTTTCATAATCTCAAAAAGGTATATTATTTTCTTTTCCAAGTAGAGTCCTCTTATTTTTATATGTATTGTTGAATAAGGACAGCTATATAATACAGTTAACAATCTCAAATAGTGAGACAGAAATTATTCTGACGTTAAACTCCAATTCGTTGTTCCCTTGTTCAGGGTATACATATGGCTTTAGTCATTACATAAATAAAAATTAGGAATAGCGGCCTGTTTGTGATTGATAGTAATTCAGGCAATCTGATTTGCAGGAATCTGCCTTGCATGTATAGCTAGTTGGCTACTGCTATTCTGGGAGTGGTGGACAGCACCTTTGCCATACTAAGTTACCAGCTGTTAGTGTCTTTAATTGGCTTTAACAATAGAAGATGAGGGATTGAGATAGATGATTAAGGGATAGATAGGTGGGTGGATAGATGCATCCATGGATGGATGGATGAAACCATAGATTTTGTTTTAAAAGTAGAAGAAGGGATATTAGAGGTTATTTAGACAGATCATCTCATTTTTTAAATGGAGAGATAGTAACTTATCCTCAAGATCTTCTGTTCTAAGTCTAGTGCTTTTACCAGTACTCTACATATTAAGGTTCTGGGCTTGGCTATATATTGCCATTTAGTGTCCTGGCCATAAAGTAAGCTTTACATATTGTACATTATTTCCTTTTTTAGATATTTAGCTTGGTTTGGTACCAGAGGAAGCAAATGAACTATATGTTGACTTTCTTAAAATAGTTTTCTTTGTCTAGTCATGACTGGTTGGATAATGACTATCCCAGAACCATGAGCAATTTTAAGAAGGGTCAAATGATAACTTTCAGTTCTACGTTGACAATGAAAATCTCTTACTGAAGACTTTTTGACGTCAGGTGGTCACCAGACGGCAGTCATTTTCTATGTAATACTAAGACAAATTGTTACTTTGACTTGAGAGCAGAGGAGAATGGAAAAAAGGAAGTGAATGAATATCCCAGCAGCAAACCTGGGGTCTGCTTTTGGTGGTTTATATCCCCGCATGGTTATCCCATCTTATGATTAAGTTTGATTATCTGCTTGTATTCTACATAAAATATTGAATTCAGGAACAGAGTTTTGAAACAGTTTTTGTTGTCTTCTTATGTAACTGTGTTTCTAATTGCTGCCAGAGCTGCATTTTAGTACTGAGAATCCAGATGCTTTAGAACTAATGATGATAAATTCTGAGTTAGTTGGTTTTTTTAAGTGTTTTATTAGTTTGGGAGTGTGTGTGTGTGTGTGTGTGTGTAGAACTATATATAGAACAATATGTACATATAGAACTATATATATATTTTTTCAGGGTTCTTATAAAGCAAATACCTAGTAGTAGAGACATACGGTATTTTATTTCTCTTAAATGAGTATGCTCATTACTGTTGAATAATTAGATTTATTCTTTATTGAAACAGGCTTAGAAAAGATTACCCTTTTAACAAAGACATGACTATTTCATATTGTTATAGCTGATTTTTAAACTTTATTTGTATTCAATGGTTTCAACTAAGAAAGCAACCCTGAGTTTTTCTTTTTACTGTCATTTAGGGAGCATCTACTGTATTGTACTTGTTTTATCTTATATCTTTGGTATCATCCCATGTCATATCTCATCCATCATATCTTCCCACTAGTCTGACAGATAGATATTACTATCCCCATTCTACAAATGAGAAAACTGAGGCTAGAGCTTAAGTGAGTTCCCTTTATCCAGATAGGGTCAGAATTTGAACTCAGGTCAATTTGACTGTAAAACCACCATAATTACTATTTTTTTTTACTTTCACTCCTCCTTCTGTTTCTTTCAGAGGATTATATTCGTTATGCCCATGGTCTGATATCTGATTACATCCCTAAAGAATTAAGTGATGACTTATCTAAATACTTAAAGTAAGTATTGATTATCTTCAGTCATAATGAAGTACCATCTGCTTCTTGGTTTCCCCAGCAGTGGGGTTTCCTTATGGCTTATCATATCACTGTTTATGATACAAGATTATTCTTGAGCTGTGTCATATTACTTTGTGCCTTGGAGGTGATTTTTAATGGATGATTGGAATGAACTGATTTGATGGATACAGATTGCAGGAACTAGTTAATGTCAAGATTGGAATTATGGCTTGGTCTGATTTTAGAGGATTAACTATGTTAAAATTTTATCCTCAATTATACTTAACTAATTTGGTTCTTTATGATCATTTTAAGAGGTAGAAAAGAGGGATGGAAAGAGTAGATGGAATATAGAATTTTTTTAAATTTATAAAATATTTGTATCATTTGCACTATTATCACTAGATGTTCACTGAAGGGACTTTACTATGCCCAAGACTTGGAAGTCAAAGTAATATGAAACACAATCTGTGTCTTTGAGGGACAGAAGAAGGGTTTTAAGAATGGTTTAATGTATGTTCCTTTCTTTATAAAGAGTTTATACATTTAGACTTTAAGTTGAAAAAGAAGTGTTTATTTTCTAGATTTTTGCAAAATCGTTACTTAATTTTGTTGTTAAGATTTTATGCGTGTGATGATTTAATAGCTTTTCCTGATCCTTATAAATCCTTTTTATCCTCTGAGTCATGAAGATAAAATGACTTTTTAATAGATATAGTTACTGGTTTTAGCAAATTCCAGAGATCCTACTTTAAAAAACAATGATTGGAAGCTGGTTTCTATAATAGTTAAAGTGTGTTGAAAGCCTGCTTCAAATTGATAATCATATCCCTCTGCTTAATATCCCCAGATTTCTATGCTGCTTGTCTTGTTAGAGACCTCATGTCTTTGTACTCCGTTATTTGTATAGATTCCTTTCTTTCCACTAACATTTTTAAGTTTTGGTTGAAGAGTTCAGAAGAAAGGTATGCCAATTAAACTGCTTTCTGATGGAAGAAAAGTTGAAATTTATGTGGCTTTTTGTGAACAGTTAAAATAATTTTCACCTTTAAATACATGTTAGCATCTTTATTATGAAGAAAAAATACTCCAACACCCAAACACAAATTTATAGAGGCTAAAGAAAAGCAACTCTGTTCCAACAGATGGGTTCTAATTTTATTTTTTAGTTCAGACAACGCCAAAACAAGGAATTACATATCAAAATAAAGACTCTTTTATTGAGAAAACTTTCATTCTTTACACTGAGGTAATTGAACAGAAAGATATATGGAGGTAAAGCTGTAAGTTGAAAAGTAGGACTTACTAAGTCTTAAGTTGGCCCTGTCTTTCTGTTTGTTTGTCTATGAAAAACCATGACTTTGATTCTTATTTTTAACTTCCTTAGGCTTCCAGAACCTTCAGCCTCGTTGCCAAATCCTCCATCAAAGGTAAGAAGCTGTGACTAAGATATCTTTGGGGGACTTAGAAAAATATTACACTCTTACCACATGAGTTTAGTTTTTTCTAATATATTTTAAAACATACTAAATCCATTTTGCATGGAGTGATGCCATGTGGAATAAAGATTGTAGTGGGCTGTCCATCACTATTTTTTATTTTTGTAGATTCCACCTGAATGGTAAATAAAGTGCCATGAAAACCCAAGAAGAGTTGGTTTTAGCAAGGTACCCCTATGAAAATATTAAAGACATATAGTTAAAATTAAATCTTCCTGCATTAGTTAGATCACTTAATTAAATTTAGTAATCACTAAGCATACTCTATATATAACTAAAATTCATTTTGCCAAATCTAATTGTCACTGGCACACAAAGGTGAACAGAAAATGATTTCCATAACACAAAGAATCCTTTGAGAAAGGATGATCACTTTTTTTTGAGTTTGAAATGATTGATGAATTTACGTGTAATCTTTGTTAGTGGAAAATCTTTTCCTCGTTCATTCTCAGGCTGCTACCCACAGCTCCTCTGCAGCTGGTGTGTTTATCTCCTAGATCAAGAGAATGGAGAAGCCAATCATAAACCACACCTGACTGCAAATTGCAGCGTTCCTTCAGCCCAGACCAGATCTCAGATGAGTTAAACGCTGCTCCAAGACAGGGAAATAAGCATGCGCACCAGCTTGTCAGTGAGGTCATTTCTTCAGCCAGCAAAGTAAAGAATGCCTTGAGAATGTAAAATGGACATACTGCGGATGTTACAAACTTTCCTTCTCCCTTACATTCATTCCTTGGCCTATAAGGTAGCCAACATGCTCAGAATTTTTTATATCATTCCCTTTATAGAGGTGGTGGTGGCTCCAAAAACATTGTCCTTAGAAAAGGACAGAAAATTGAAAGTACAGCAGTGTTTGTCTGGGGCTATGTTCAGCATGTTGTCAAAAAAAAATGCATTTTTTACTCTGTTGGAGAATGCACTGGGCAGAAGCCTGTTCCTGTAAGATCTAAGGACTGCTCTAGGCCAGACCCATGCTTCTTTCATTCCAGTCGTTAATCTCTGACAGTAGCTCTAGAGGACCTAGACAGGCACAATTGTGTTGCTGAAACTAAGAGGGTAGGTTCTCTGAGAGTGTTTCTTATTTTTCTTCATCCAAAACTTAAGCAGATTTTTTTCTCCCAAATATCTATCTTCCTTAGTAACTTAGAGATCATTCATGAATTGATCTAAACCTATTCTTGAAAGCTTTAGCCTTGGGTACCTTTTGGAGTAATATGTTTCATAACTTTATTCTTCTCTGCTCCTGATTTCTGTTTTCTTATTTTAATTTTCAGAATTTAAGTTGTTTGTGACTTCATCATTTATGATTTAGATCAGGGATCAGCAAACTTTTTCTTCTAAAGCCCGATAGTAAATATTTTAGGCTCCATGAAGCAGATGGACTCTGTTGCAACTACTCAACTCTGCTGTTTTATTGTGAAAACAGCCACAGATAATACATAAACGAATGAGCATGGCTGTGTTCCAGTAAAACTTCATTTATAAAAGCAGGCAGCCAGCTGGATTTGGCCCCTGGGCCTTCATTTGCCAAGCCCTGATTTCGATTTTGGCATCTTGCTCTTCCTAAACCCCAGCCTTGTCTTCTATATTATTTGAGTTGCTTTTCGAGGTCTTCTACTCTGTGTCTTTCTGGGGTTCCAGTGTACACATTATAAACTATACTGGATGATGTACCATCATTTAAACAAGCGTAGGACATATCTTCTGCTAGCTTTCCTGTCTGTATCCAGGATTTGATTGATTTTTACAGTAATATAGTTGACTGTTTGCAGGAAATATATTCCAGTAGCTGTTAGGTATCTTTGTATCTATGTTGTAATCGATAGCATGGAGCCTGTCATCCTTAATATGTTTTATGTTATTTTCCTTTACTATCATATGTCTGCCTTTGTTGAAACTCAGCTTCCAACCCTCACTCGTTCCAGTCTTTTCAATTTGTCACTGTCAGCAAGCAGAGTTGAATACAACCAGTGGGTTTGGAGATGTTCCCGAGTTTCTTCTTGCAAATCATTTGTAAGAAGGCCTAACATTAATCCCTGTGGTACTCTGTACTTTGTTCTCTTTCCAGAACTGTATCCATCTAGTCATTTGTTACTGTCTTTCTGAGCCACTTTTCTGCTGAAACAATCTCCCAAATCCATAGTGATTTGGTCTTTTAAATAACAAAAATTTTAGTAAATGCTTCAATCATCTTTTTTTCCAATATATTCAACAGTGCACTAGGAATAACATAAAAACTAGTTCTATGTAGAGACTACCACAATCATTTTCTTTTTTTAAATACTTATAACTGGTATCTTGTTTTGTTGTGAGCTATTAAAACACCTGAACAAATCATTTCTCCAATTAAACATTTTATGTCCATACAAAAGTACCTTTCATCTTAAGTTCTTGTAATGAACACTTTTTATTTGAATTATCAGTGAAAAGTGAACCTCACCAGTGCAGTGGCACACACTTGTAGTTTTAGCTACTCAGGAGGCTAAGGCAGAAGGTCGCTTGAGCCCAACAGTTCAAGGCTATAGTATGTAATGATCGCAACTATGAATAGCCACTGCACTCCAGCCTGGGCAACACAGTGAAACCCTGTCTCTAAAGAAAAAAAGGGAATGATGCCTAAGTGTTTATAATGACATCTATGTTAGGAACATTTTGCCACAGCATCCTCATAACTTCAAGCTTTTTGTGTTTTGAAAGTATTTTGGCCTTCAGCATTATTAGCTGTGAGTTCCACACTCCTAGCTAAAGATCCCTTTCTAGAAAAAATGTGCATCACCTAAACACCCTTTACTGTCTTAATTTAAATAGAAACATGTATTCTTTTTTTCTTTACTTTTTTTTTCCTTTACTTTTTGTTATTTTCTTTTCTTTTTTTTTCTTTTTTTTTGAGACAGAGTCTTGCTGTGTCATCTAGGCTGGAGTGCAGTGGCACAATCTCAGCTTACTGCAGCCTCTGCTCAGGTTCAAGCAATTCTCGTGCCTCAGTCTCCCGAGTAGCTGGGACTACAGGCACATGCCATCATGTGCAGCTAATTTTTATCTTTTTATTAGAGATGGGGTTTTGTCATGTTGGCCAGGCTGGTCTCGAACTCCTGACCTCAAGTGACCGCCCACTTCGGCCTCCCAAAGTACTGGGATTACCGGCATGAGTCACTGCACCCAGCTGAAACATATATTCTTAACAAAGTTGCAAATATACATTCACTTGGTGCTGATAGGTGGTTCATTTGTGATGGATTAGTCTTTGTCTTTTAATGATTGATTTGCTAGAGGTTGCTGTGTGGCCAAGAGGTTTTCCTATAGTATGTGGTATATTCCCAGGATGAGCCTCTGTTTTTTACAGCAAACAATTTCAAGACATGGTGTTTTATTCTTTTGGGTTATGGGATAAAACACCATGGGCTGTGGAATCTTTTAGCACCAATTCTACCAGTTCTTTGTTTAGCCAAGCAGGGGCATGAAGAATGAAGTTGGGAGGAAGTCTGTTTCCTAGGGTAGATCCATGTTGGGTCTGGTCAACCTGGTGTCTCCACAAACAGCCTGAAAATTATAAAAATCTGGCTTGTGATTACCATGCAGTCAGTTCTCCATGTTCAACAGCAAGACTTGTCTTCCCTGCTATTGTACTTTTTACATAATAAGTGTGGCATGATTTCTTCTATATTGTGATCATTAAGGCTAAAGTCTAGCCCTTGACGAGATTCTCACATTCACTGGTGTAAAATGTTCATGTGAAAGGAGAAAATGTTAAGTAAAGGTCTGACTTACTTGCATTGGGCCTAATGGAAAGAACACTGTATCAAAATTGAAACCTTGGCCGAAGTCCTCTACTTGGTGACCTTAAGCTATTCATTTAGCCTCTCTGTGCTTCCCTCTCTTGCTGGCTGCTTGCTTGTGCAAGGTTGTTCTTGCATGAATAAAGTAAGATAATTGAATTGAAAGGAGGGAAGGACATGAAGCTGTACAAAGATAGTGATTATAGAATAATATTGTCCCTTCATTCGTAAGTGAACATTAAACCAGCCCAGGAGGTAAATGAAATAGGGATTCTGGCTGGACACCTGGCCTCCTTCGAGAGACTATTCTTATTTTGACTTCTGTGCTTTGCATTCATCTGGTAATTAGCAATCCCCTCGTGCCCACCATACCTGGCACCTACAAAGCCTGTGTTTGCTAGACCAGCTAAGGACCTCAGCCATGTACTTACCCAATCATACCCACCATCACCAAGGCTGCTTCTTAGAAGTGATGTGTGACTTGATTCCCTAAATGATTGACAAAATGTAAAGGAGCCTGTAAAAAGTAAGCCCTTTGCTGTGTCTTCTGTTCCATTTGCCTCTGTGGAGGTCTAAATTATACATGTTGGTTTTTTTTTTTAATGGATTGATGTTAGTGTCAAGGTGACATTTGACACCACTTCACTGCTCTAATGTTGCAGAAAATAAAGTTATCAGATGAGCCTGTAGAAGCAAAAGAAGATTACACTAAGTTTAATACTAAAGATTTGAAGACTGAAAAGGTATGTGGGTTCAGGTGTAGTGGCGTATCGTTCGTACTCATTGGGTGATGTACATGAATACACGCGGAACAGTTGCACGCTTGATCGTGATTGCAGTTTTGGCCAGGAAGAATTATTAACTTGCATTTCTGTGACTTAATAATTAATTCAGAATTGTGTATGACAATGAAAATGTTAAGCATTTATGATTTATTAAATAAGTTACTAGTTAATTAAGACTTATAATGAGTCAAAGAAAAACAATATACTACTTATCAAGAGTGTGCCTAAATTTTGCTATGTATTCATAGAGTGATAGGGTGGGAAAGGAAGGAGGAAGCTCTACAGGTAATTTTTTATGAACCCTGCTGCCCAGAAGCAGAAATTATGATGATGATGATAAAAATTATCAACAATTTCACCATTCCGCACTCACCCTGGCAAATGGCATTTTGGTGACATTCCTTACTGAGTTTTATACATGCCTTGTAAATACATATGTGGCCTTTAACACTGGCATTATAATACTCAGTTCTGCCCTTTTTAGTTAGCATTAAATTGTGAAAATGTTCACATGTCATTAAACATTCTTTGAAAAATTATTCATGTTTTTATGATATTCAGCCATGGGTGTTTATTTCACCATATGGAATGTAATTTAATAATTCCCCTATATTTGGACATATAGGTTACTTCTGATTTTTTTATTTTTTGTTTTTATTGAAGTGATAGACATTCTTACTTATAGACTGTATCTCCAATCATTTCATTAGACACAACTTTGAACTAAGAGCTTGGAGTACATGAACTCTTTCATGATAATTGAAATATATGTAGCTAAAGTGCTTTTCAAAACTGTAGAAATTTGTGCTCCCAAACATTATTGCCAATGAGTATTTATCTTGCATTTTTGACAGCATTGAGTATCACTTTTATTCTTGAACATTGCTGCCTGTCAAATTAGGCTACATTTCTTTAACTGGAAAGGTTGTCTTTCCAAATGCTTATGGCCCATTTGCATTTTTGCAAATTGTTGGTTCCTGTCCCTTGCCTGTTTTTATGTTGAGATAGTAATGTTTCTCTGTTGCTTTGTATGAGCTCCTTCTAAATTAAGGCTATTATACACTTTTCGTGAAATATAGGATACAAACTTGTTTTAACCTTTTCATTTGATTTTTTAACAGTGTTAAATTTTTCTGAGGATTAAGTACAGAAATTGTTTCCCTTTATGATTTTTCCATTGTTTTTATGCTTAGAAAGGCATTGCCCATCTCAAGATAAGTTAACTTTCACTTAGATTTTAAAAATACTAACTCCCCTTTGAGTTTAATGTTTTTTAGAACTGTTATTCTTAAATCAATGTGTAATTTATTTGGGCATATGGTATTGGGGATAGTTCAATTTAAGATCTGCCCAAATAGGTAGTTATCCCGATGCTGTGTCAGCAGGGACATTGTCAGTTTCTCTGAGAGAAATCTTTGTGCCCCGCCCTTCTGTGTGAGTGCCACTTACTGTATCCACTTGGGCACAGCATGGGGAATGTCTTAAATGCAGAGATAAGTCTGAAGCAGACTGTTGCTTTGCACCATTGAGTCAAAAATAAGCCTACTAAACTATAAGTGACTGAATGTGAAAAGCAGAATTGTGGGAATCATATACTGTGCCTCTAAAAAATACTTTGGCAATGACTTTGTCTTACAATTCCCAGGTAGACGGGTGTTTTTTTGTTTTTTGATTCCCATCATTTATGCTTCTTCCAAACAAGCTGTGGTGCATCTGCATCAAAGTTAAATCAGCTGCTACTTACCTTCTGCAAGTGCTTTATATAAGACATGGAAGAAAAAAATTCAGTGACCAGAGAGAGAGAGAAATGTACAGGGCAGAATTATTTGGAGTCAGCTTTTTGGAAAGTATTGCTTTGTTGGAGGAAAAATAAGGCAGCTATCCTGCTGGTCTGGGATGCTTTGCAACACGAGTCATCTTTTGAATATCATGGGGTTGTCCTTGGTTTCCCATGGAGCAAATGAATGAAATCAGATGGTAAATTGGTGTGAATTATTCATCAAGTGGTAATACAAGGCTGTAATTCCTACCTCTGACAATTGCGGCCTGTGTCAGTTCCATTGTTTGTGTTATTGCACTTTATGCACCCTCCAGAATTATCCACCCCCTCTCCAATGTAAACCATTGATTGGAACATTCTGCTCCTTAGAAGGCGGCAGTTTTGTCTTCCACCTCTTTTAACATATTCTGTCTCTGAGGTCTGAATTCTGAATAGAAATCAGAACTTTTTCACTCCCTCATGAAGCATGTTAGTGGGGGACGCTTACCTTCCTTAATGAAACCTGAGACATGCAGTCTCCTTTGATTTGCATGTATGATTAATAAATGTTACATTCATAACAATTTTTCTCTCTTATTTTCATTAACAGAAAAATAGCAAAATGACTGCAGCTCAGAAGGCTTTGGCTAAAGTTGACAAGAGTGGAATGAAAAGTATTGATACCTTTTTTGTTGTAAAAAATAAAAAAACAATTGGAAAGGTTTGAAACTTTGATAATAAAATCTAGCAAAAATATTTGCTTTTTACATGTTTCAATTTGTGCTTCCTGACCATTAATGACTACCTTTGATGGGGGGAAGGAAGAGGCCAATTTCATGTTCTCTTAAACATTTCTTTGCATTTGGTTTTTGTGTTCCTGAACGAAATATGGGAAAGTGATTGTGTAACTTCATGGCTATGGCCTTTTGGAGTCTCATCTGACATAATGAAAAGTAATCACGTGAAGAGAATTAACATATAGCATCAGGATTTTCTCAATAAACTGATCTGTGACAATGTTAGAGTGTATGACTGTTTTTTAATGCAACTTTGCACCCAGTAGGTATAGTAATAATATTTTTAGTATACTGAGGGAAACTGGATTACAAAACTGTCAGGTAAATTATTACTTTTAAAAAGGCTTTAGTTTTTGGTAAATTTTTTTAATGGTGTTTCTCTGTCTTTATGAATAGATGTTCTTTGTAGAAAATAGAGAAAGTAATAAAATAAGAATTTCAATCTCCCATTTCTTCATTACCCAGAGATAATATATTTTCTTATAACAATTTTTAGAAGGGAATTATAGTAATTTTATGACTTTTTTTTTTCAACTTTTATTTTAGACTCGGGGTACATATGCAGGTTTGTTACAGAGCGATACTGTGTGATGCTGAGGTTTGGGATGTGATTGAACCTGTCACCCGGGTAGTGAGCATAGTACCCGATGGGTAATTTTTCAAACCTGGCTCCTCTCCCACTCTCCCTCCCCTTGAAGTCCCCAGTGTCTATCTTTGCCATCTTTATGTCCATTTGTACCCAACGTTTGGCTGTTACTTATAAGTGAGAACATGTGGTATTTGGTTTTCTGGGTTTTATTTGTTTGTTTGTTTTTTGCATTAATTCGTTCAGGATAATGGCCTCCAGCTGCATCCATGTTGCTGCAAAGGACATGATTTCATTCTCTTTTAGGGCTGTGTAGTATTCCTTGGTGTATATGTACCATGTTTTCTTTATCCATTCCACTGTTGATGGACTCGTGGGTTGATCCCATATCTTTGCTATTGTAAGGAGTGCGGTGATGAACATACAGGTGCATGTATCTTTTTGGTAGAATAATTTATTTTTCTTTGAGTACATAGCCAGTAGTGGCCAATAGTGGGATTTCTGGGTTGAATGGTAGTTCTGTTTCTAGTTCTTTGAGAAATCTCCAAACTGCTTTCCATAGTGGCTGAACTAATTCACATTCTCACCAAAAGTGTTCCCTTTTCTCTGCAGCCCTGCCAACATCATCTGTTATTTTTTTACTTTTAAATAATACCTGCTCTGACTGGTGGGAGATGGTATCTCATTGTGGTTTTCATTTGCTTTGCTCTGATGATTAGTGATGATGGGCATTTTTTAATATGTTTGTGATCACTTGTATGTCTTCTTTTGAGAAGTGTCTGTTTATGTCTTTTGCCTACTTTTTAATGGGGCTATTTGTATCTTATTGATTTGTGTAAAGTTCCTTATAGATTCTGGATGTTAGTCTTTTGTCAGATGCATAGTTTTTCTCACTCTGTAGGTTGTCTGTTTACTCTGTTGATACTTTATTTTGCTGTGCAGAAGCTCTTTAGTTTAATTAGGCCCCCACTTGTCAATTTTTATTTTTGTTGTAATTGCTTTTGAGCACTTAGTCATAAATTGTTTGCCAAGGCTGATGTTGAAAAGGGTATTTCCTAGGTTTTCTTCTAGGATTTTTATAGCTTGAGGTCTTACAGTTTTTAATCCATCTTGAGTTAATTTTTGTATATGGTGATAGGTAGGAGTCCAGTTTTATTCCTCTGCATATGGCTGGTCATGTATCCCAGCACCATTTATTGAACAGGGAGTCCTTTCCCCATTGCTTATTTTTGTTGACTTTGTTGAAGATCTGATAGCTATAGGTGTGTGGCTTTATTTCTGGGTTCTCTATTCTCTTCCTTTGACCTATGTATCTGTTTTTATATCAGTACTATATTGTCTTGATTACTGTAGCCTCGTAGTATAGTTTGCATGGGTAATGTGGATGCCTTGGATAATGTGGATAATGTTGGATAATGTGATACCTCTGGCTTTGTTCTTTTTGCTTAGGATTGCTTTGACTATCTAAGCTCTTTTTTGGTTCCATATGAATTTTAGAATAGTTATTTTCTAATTCTGTGAAGAATCACGTTAGTTACTTTTTTATAAACTTTATTTTGTTACTATTTTCCCAGACTACTAACTCTTCTTTGTAAATATGTTTTTTTTTAATGACAGTGTAATTTTTGATTATTTGAATATTTGATTGTTTAACAACCATGATCCTGTTTGGACATTTGGATTATTCACAAATGTTCAGTGTTTGAAGAATCAGATTATAAGTAAATATTTGTCCACATCTTTTATTGTTTCCTTATAATGGATTTTTGGATGTGGGCTTATTAGATTTTCAAATATATATTTGTGGGAATATATTTCATGGAAAGCTTATAGACTCTTGCACTCTAACAAACAGTGGGTGTGAAAGCTTAATGCTGCCTTGTTAGCACTGATTGTTACCTTTGGAAATAAGTGAAAAAACATTTTATTGTAGTTTTAATTCATTAGTAGTGATTTTGAACATTTTTTCGTACTTACTAATCAATTGTCATCTTATAGAGAATTGTCTTTTATGTTCTTTGCTACATTATTAGAGTATCAATATTTTTCTTATTGACTAAAAGTATTGTGTAGCTTAAGGACATTAATTTTGTCTACTGTGTTTGTTGTAAATTTCTTTTCTTGGTTTATACTTTGCCTTTAATTTTGCTTATGATTTTTGACATGCAGGTATTTTTAGTTTTTATGTAGACATATATACATAAACTTTTCCTTTACACAGATACTGTGCTTAGAAAGATATTTCATTTTACAGGAAATTTAACTAGACACTTTTATTTTCTTCTGATTTTTTAATAGTTATATTTTTGGTTCTTTTTTGGTTTTTTTTTAGATGGAGTTTCGCTCTTATTGCCCAGGCTGGAGTGCAATGGTGCGATCTCAGCTCACCACAACCTCCGCCTTCTGAGTTCAAGTGATTCTCCTGCCTCAGCCTCCTGAGTAGCTGGGATTATAGGCATGTGCCACCATGCCCAGCTAATTTTGTATTTTCAGTAGAGACAGGGTTTCTCCATGTTGGTCAGGCTAGTCTTGAACTTCCAACCTCAGGTGATCTGCCCGCCTTGGCCTCCCAAAGTGCTGGGATTACAGGTGTGAGCCACCACACCTGGCCTCTTTTTGTTTTATATTTAATTACTTAAATCATCTAGAGAATGTATAATTATGTTTAAATATGTTGCGAGGTAAAGCTGTAATTTAATTATTTTCTCACCAGTTTAGTTTTTCATTTAATCTGTAGGGTTATTTTGTCAAATTCTCAGAGTAAGTTCCAATGGAATTTTTATTGAGATTTTGTTAGATGCATAACTTACTTTGGGAAAACAAACATCTTTACAAACTTAAATATTCTTATTTGGGAATATAGTATTTATTTTTATTTACTCAAATCTTAAGCATACCTTTCACTAACATTTGGTTCTTCATCTTCAATAGGTTCTAGACATCTCTTTGTAGGAGTATGTGTAGATATTTTCATTGCTATTAATGAAATCTGGTTTTTTCCAGCTAGGTCTATCAACTGGTCATTTTGTGGTAAAGTTTTATATTTTTATATATTTATCTTTTAAATAACCAGTTTACTAAACTATTAATGGAAAAATTTTCCATTTTATTTATTTTGGGTTTCAGTACATAATATAGTATGTAATTTAGTTTTTAGAAATTGCATGCAATTCTATCTAATAGTTACACCTCTTTTATTATATTTTTTACATTATATTACATGGGCTAGAATATCCAGAACAGTATTAAAGAGTAATAATAGCTGTCTGTGTCTAATTGGTGATTTTATTGATGTGCTTTACCATTAATTCTGACACTAGCTGTTGCTAATATGATAAAGAATATCCATCCTTTTATACTTAGTTTCCTTAAGGTTTAAATTAGTAATTGGTGTTGGTTGTTATCAGATATCTTTTTGGCATCTATTGAAGTGTCCATAAAGTTTTTACTACTATCAAACTGTATCTGTGTGTCTGATAAACTCCCCCTGGCAGTAAAGGATCAATAACACAGTGGATGCATCCTATCTTTCTTAGCCTTTGTCAAATATAGTTTTCAGTTAGACTTTCTATGCTTTTATTAAGGAATTTTGCAGCCATATTCATAAGCGATGCTGCTGTTAGGCTTTAGCATTAGAATTAGGCTAGCTTTCCTTTTTTTCCAATATTCTGGAAGGATTCATTTTGCATTATGATATTTTATTGCTGGAAAATGTTTAAGAATCTTAGAGGTAAAACTGTCTAGCACTGGAGCCTTTTCATTGTTGTTACAGTTTTTTTTAATCTGCAAGAATTTCTCATCTGTTCTTTGTCTTACTTGACATTTTTGAGGAGTACAGAGTAAATATTTGCTGGAATATTTCTCATTCTAATGTTTCTTTCTGATTAAATTCAGATCATACTCTTAGGGCACCTACAGAAGCAATATGTCTTTCTCAGTATACCATGGCAGGAATCACAGTCTATCCCAATATCAGTGTTGATGATTTTGATCACTTGATTAAGGTGCTGCCTACAAGTTTTTCATTGTGAATTAATGTTGATTATTTTTGTAATTAATAAGTAATTTGTGGGTAAGTATTCTGGGACTTTGTAAGTATCCTATTTCTTATCAGATGTTTGCCCACTAGTTGTAGGATCTGATGATTTTCTAACTTTCATGTCTTCTATATTTATCAATTGGTATTCTTCTGTAAGGAAGAACTTTCCCTTTTCCTTGCTTCCTCACTCATTTATGAATTCTTAACAGTATGGATTCATAGATTTTTATTTTGTCCAGTGGGCTATATTACATTATTATTATTAATTTTAATGCTCATGTTGTTTCAGAAGAGCTAGTGGGAGACCCTTCAAGCTGACTTCTGTATCTTTTGAGTATGTTTCTATCATTCTTTAATACATTCCTACTTCTGTGACTGGAGTTTCAGCCTCTTGTACTTTCCCTGTGCAAGCCCTGAATCCACCTTTTTTTCAAGGAATGCTGGTTCCTTTCAGGGAAGAATGGAGTTTAGAAACCAAGATCTAGGCAGTAGGTATGCTCATTGCTATTGGTATGTCATTGCTTAGGAGCCAACACTAGGAAATGTGTGTGTGTGTGTGTGTACAATATGTACACACACATATATACACTATATAC